AAACTTTAGATCCAACAGATTTAATCAATAAGGATTTCAGTGTAGAAATGCTTGTAGCTAGAACTTAATACGGGGCTCAGATCACAATGACTAAAAAGAAGGGTATGAAAGGAATCTTTTATTTTTGAGGCTGGAATGTGTGGGTTTCTGGAATTTCTTATTCTGGCTAAGAAAGATTAATTGTGATAATAATAAAACTACAGCACTACAGCTAATGATAACATATGATAATATCTAATGAAATTATAGTAATGATATTTGAAGGCAGCTTAGGGGCTCTTTTCTGCCTTCCTCAGTCCCTCAGGGTGGTATGTCTAGACTCTGCAATCCTCCTGTTCGTCATGTTAAGAGGGCCTAGAACAAAGCAAACCCCTTTGCTTTAACAGCAAAGACTCCTGAACATCTCTGTTCCTGTGATGGGTATCTTGCAAGATCAGAAAGGGTTAGTCAGGTTCATTTTGCCCTCAGCCCAGTCTGGCAGATAACACAGGCCTCAGGGCTTTAGGAGCTCCTGCAATAAGGGCCATACATCTCCTTATCCCCAGCATAATGTCCTTAATCTCTCTTCACCAAATGAATGCAACTGCTCTGCTTTGCACTGATCTCATGCAGCAAAAACCCTTGAGCATTGCTGGGGGGAGCAGTTCATTTGACTGTATGGAAGCAACTGTGCATTCTGTGGTCTTGCATTTCTTTCCCCTTGGGAAATAATTCAACAATCTTATTTTTAAAACACATTTAAAATATTTTAATTAGAAAAAAAATATTTCTGTATATTTCTATAAGCACATAATGAGTATTTAATTACTAGATGTGTAAAGCTGTTCCATGCTTTTCCTATAAGGTACCTTCGAAAACACTGAGGGTGTTCAGAGTTTGTGTTTTTTACTTCTCCACCCCAGCAGAAGACAGACCGGCCCTGCTTGATATCTCATTGCATAGGATCAAGAAAAAAATAGCTTTAGTATTTATCCACTGAATAGCTAGAGTATCCTCTGCTCAGCTACAGCTGACCTTGGAGTCTAACATTTATTTTAGTGGCATAAATCTGTTTGTGTCAGTGTGTTCTTTGTAATGGTAGTACGGGGCAGATGGTACTCCTGGTTTCTACCAATGAAGAGTTCCACAACTATTAGTACATGCAAGAACTGGGGAATGGACTCTGAAGAAGCCACTTTCTTTAATTCTTTGATTATACATTAAAGTCTGGTGGACTTTAGACATAGACATAGACTTGGTGGACATAGAGCAGGCTCTGATGTCCCAGAAGACAACAGCACCATGATTTTGGACAGAACAGACTGTGACATTAAACAGGGAATGGAAAGATCAGAAAATGTCTTGCAGTTGGACTGCTGGCTGCTGAAGCACCTTTTAAATTGCAGGCTGTGCTTGTATGAAGTGTATCTTTTCCCATAAGCAGAACAGAAAGCTCTTTTCCAGAGCGAAAAATGCCAGGGCTGCTGAAAATCCTAACTCCAGTTCTTGTTTCTCTCTCAGGGTATGGTTTGGGGTCTCACATCCCCCAGGGATCAGGGCACTGGGGTCAGGCACCAATGCTCTCCTTTTTGAGAAGGAGAGGTGTTTCCTAATGCATCTTTACAGCTAGCATTTCCTATGGACTACTGCTAACCCTGTAGCTCCTCCACTTTCCACCAATTGCCAACAGAGACTCCAAATTCCTGGAGCTATATTAAAGTTGTATAACCCAGGAATGCTTGTCTCTCTGCATCTCCACTCTGGGTTGTGGTGAAGTGGATTTAAACAGTGTTTTAAGGGCTAAGTGCTGCCAAAAAAAAATAAAAATAGAGTTTGCAGAAGTAATGACTCCATTGTACTGAGCAGTTCTTCCTTCTTGATCATGACTGGCATGTCTTAGTTTAAAGACAAGTGGAGGAGAAAATGCTCTGAAATGAGTATTTCCTCTGGAAAAAAGGTTCCAACAATCCATTTCTATCAATGGGAGATTAATGCTAGTAAATGAAAGTGAAAAAAACCAACCATTTATTGACAAACAGAGTGCCAACACAGCATGGGGAAAAAAAATTGTGAAAAAATGCTAGATATTGAAGTATCAGACCTTGCCCTCCCTGTACACACACTCACACTGTTATAAAAAAACAACACAAACAAACAGAATCCAGGGAAAGGGAAAAACAACTGCTGGCCATGTGTCAGGGAGGAACAAAATGGCACCTGGATTCTGTCTCAGGGAAGAAAGAAACCAAAAGGTTCACACAGCAGCTCAGGGGAAAAAAAAGCCAAACAGATGGGAAGCTGGTGAATCTCTGATGTTGGTCTCCTCACAGCAGATGAAGTTGGTGGATTTGGTGTCCTTTCTCTTGTGGGTTTGGCTTTTCTGAGGCCTGGGGCAGGGACAGAGCAGCTCCTTGGCTCCCTGCTGGTCGTCTGCTTCTCCCATCAACTTTCTGATCTCAAACCAAAACCAAACTGAATAGTTCAGGAGAAAAAAAAACAGAAAAACTGGGGAAGGTTTGCTGTTGAGGTCTCCAAGGGAAAGGAAAAAAAACCTTCTTCCCTAAGCTAACAAAAACCAAGCTGGCTAGGCAACAAAGTCTGCCCATCTGCAGGGAACCACAGACACTCGAGAGTGAGGCTTTGAAAAAAGCCTGTGCAAGAGCCCCCATTCTCAACCTCTGCCCCTAAACCTACCTTAAAACCACAGCAACCATTTCCGGGCATAGAGCAGATGACCAGGGAATAGAGTATCATCATAAAATCACCCCACGACAGCATGGAGCAGGTAATGATCAGGCTGTTCCTTATTGGGAACCATCTTTGCCAATGCCTGGGTATCTGGGCATGCCTCTAGTGTAAATCCTTCGTATTTATTGTTTTCTAAGGCATATGGGTTCTTCAGGCTCTTAATTGATTTAAAAAACAGCCAAGACATTTAGAAGTCCCAGAATGCACTGACAATCAGTGGGATTCAGGGTGTGCTTCTGGTTCTGACAAGGACATCTGAGCTCCTTAATTGCCAAGGGTATCTGAATGATATATTGATTAGGTTCCCACTGAAGGATACCCTGGATACCTTGGCAGAGCAGGACTGAGACGCTCTGAACAGCCAACTCTGATAATGTGAAGCATGCCTAGATTTATCATAAAAACTCAATAAACAAGCCCGTTATAAACCAGCTAAGAAAAATTGTACCACACACCCCATGCCCCAACAGTCCCAGCTGAATCCATCTTTAACTACTAGAGGAGTTGGTGAGCAAAGCATCTGTCAGCCCAAGCTGGGAAATTTCTGTGCCCCAAGTCCTGCCTCTGGCTCTCAGAGCTGGTCGTCAGCAGACACCAGCATTTTCAGGCTAAGGAAGATGCTGTGATGTTGCAGCATGATTATTTTTGCCCCTGTGATGTATGGAGAACTAAGGCAGAGTCTGCATGGATGTTCCAAGCTGGCAATGTCCTCAGGTCTGCAGTGTTGCATGGAGGAGATGCCCAGGGTCAGATTAACAGTGCAGTGGGAAAAGTGTCACACTTGTCAATTGTGTTCCTCTGTGCCTCACTTAAAGGTAATGAATCATCCACAGCCTTGGGAGAGCAGCTGCCTGCACACCACCACCTCTGTGCATGCAGCTGAGCTGATCTTTATAAAACCAGCACCTTGAAAAGGGAATTATTCCTAGCTAACTTAATACTTGGTTTCAAAGTTGTCACTTCATAGCTAATATCTGTAAGCTTTAGCTAGTCTTTTAAAAAGCCCTTTCTTTTCCATTTCAAATTGATGTTTTTCATAAAATGTTTTCATCACTACCCCCACACCCCAAAGTGGAAAGACGGATCTCTGGTTCTTTGGAGACCAAATACCCTTCGCTTCATATTCCAAAAAGTACTTTTGTGTATTTTAATGGAGTAGGTAGAAACATTTTTCCTTGGTTTTATGATGTTTTAATTGAGGTGAAAATCCAGAGCTGAGCATTTTCACAAAATGAAAATTAAAAATATGTGACTAGGATTGAAACATTTTAATTCTAACCTCTCTCATTTATAACACTTGTTTCTCTTTTTTTTTTAGAAAAGTGTTTTCAAAGGCAAAAGGAAGCAGAGTATCGGAACTATGAAGAGAAGCTTCATAGTGTAAAGCTCAAACAAGAAATTCCTCAAAACTGACTTCTACCATGATTATTTTGCTAAAAATAAATCACTACTTTCCAGGAAAAACTCTCTATTAAAGGGATTCTGACCAGAAAAAGTATCACAACTTGTGCCTGTGCATGGTCTCCTGTTTTCTTAAGGCCTGCTGCATTGTTTTTCATGAGACTCATTCCATGCCTATTTCAGATGCAGTTTTCCATTGATGCCGAATCGATTTTTGCCTCTTTTCTTTTATATATTTCTGTATTCTTTACACATGTATTTGTAGCCTATTAGTGTATTCGTAGTCCCAGTACTTTTCCTTACCTTTCTCCCTAGGCAGAAAGACAAAATATGTTCCAGGGCTCCAATCCCTGGGGGGTTACAAAGCCCCTGTCCCTCCCTAGGAACCAAGGTCAAAACTAGCTCTTTGAGACACATTTTCATCAAGAGCGTTTAGTCCCTAAAAAGGGGAGACAGAATTCAGAGAAGGGTTTAACTGGGGGAAATTGCCTCACCAGTTATGTCTCTAATTGGTGATTTTTGTCAATTATGCTAATTTTCTAAACTTAGAAAACTGTATTCATCCCAGGGGGGGATGCATTTTGTGGACATTCTCCATATCTGGCCCTGGAGGCCTCCAATAAACACCAGGCTTTATATTACCTCCTATACTAATATTATCTCAAAAGTGTTTGTTGTTTCATTTGTAGGTTCTTTAAGGCATCACCACAGGTAGAAGAAGCTGGAACACACCCTTAATTGTGAAACACTGGACCTGTTCATTGCTATCTGATTGCAAAAAGCTTTCCAGCCCTAATGGGCTGGTGGGATTGTTCATTGTCACTGATGTCTCCCCATATAGCAGCATGTGTCCTATTGCTGGATGGGCCAGCATGGCTCTTAGTGAATGTGGTATGAAGGGACATGTAGCAGCTTTAAGTTAAGTGGTGGGAAAAGAACACTTAGAACGTCATTTGATTGTTCCAAGGTGAATTATTCTTAAGGTGAATTATTATTAACATGAATTATTCTTTGCCATTACTGAAAAGACAAAACCAGCTGCTATTACCAAGCCAACGTGGGGTAAGAGCCGTGATACACTTATTACTGTTTTTATATTTCTTCCAAATCATAGGATCATAGGATGGTTTTCATGGGAAGGGACCTTAAAGATCATCCAGTTCCAGCCCCTCTGCCATGAGCAGGGATGCTTCCCACTAGACACAGTTGCTCAGGGCCCCGACTTGCCTGGCCTTCAACACTTCCAGGGATGGGGCATCCACAACCTCTGGATGGTTCACCTAAAACCTAGATCAGGAAGTTGTCCCTCTGCACGCTCCAGGAGTGCCCTTGCTTGCTTACAGCCAGCTGCATTACTTTCCCAGCAGATGCTGGTGAGGTAGGTGTTCAAGAATGCATTCAGTGCAGGTAACTCGGGATGCAGCTGCAGTATAAGATGCAGGTTGAGATCTAGGGGGGCAGGAGCCCGATCCCAAGGTAAGAGGCCATGAACTACCCTTTGCATTACAAAGGGCACAGGGACCTGTGGGGCAGCCAGGGGACAAGACACTTCCAGACACAACAGGAGCTGATGAGCCCCAGACCTTCATGGCCTTAGATGGCGAGGGGATAGAAGCACAGGAGCTTCTTTGTTCCAGGTTCCTCCTCAGAGGCACCAGCTTGACCTGTTATTTTGTTACTTAGTTACTGCATCATGATTAAATTGTTTTGAGGATCTGGACATCTCTGAGGCTGCTATGGGAAACCCAGGATTAAGCTGGTAAGGAGACCTGGTCTGACTGTGTGAAGAGTGGAGGGTATAGCTATAAAAACCTTTGGTACCACATGAGTTGATGTGAGAGTGACTCCAGAGTGGCTCTTGGGTGTTTGGATAGGGAAGTTTCCTTAACACTGAAATCCTCCCTTCCTAGCCCACAGCCCTCAGTTACAGCTGGGGAAGTGTCCCAGCATGCTTCCATGATAACAATTTGATCATAAGTTTGGAAGGGACCTAAAAGTTCATCTGGTTCCAATGCCCCTGCCATAGGGACACCTTCTACTAGACCAGGTAGCTCAAAACCCCGTCCAGCCTGGCCTTCAACACTACCAGGGATGGGAGCAACCTCTCTGGGCACCCTGTGACAGTGCCTCACCACCCTAATAGTCCATCAATTCTTCCTGATTTCTAATAGAAAGAGCTTAAGGCTATTCCCCCTCTTCCCTGCCTGCCCTTGGGAAAGAGGCCCTCTCCAACCTTCTTACAGGCCCCTGCAGCCACTGGAAGGGCTTCTGGAAGTTCTAAACAGTCAACAGCCAACAAGAGCCGTTGTTACCGTGACCCTGGAGAGTCATGAGCCCAACATTCCAAAGTTTGGGAGTTAGAGGCACGGACCAATCAGCAGGCTCTGGTCCAGGTGACATCACAGTGGCTGAAGAGCACCTGCGGCAGTTGGAGGGGCAGAGCAGAGGAAGGACAGAGCAGAGCGGTCTTGCTTCTCTCTTGTCCCCTTTGGGCATTGGTGTCATTCTGTCACTCTAGAAGCTTCTGTCACCCAGGAGCTTCTAGAGTCAGAAGAGGAACAGCTAAAGGAATGGGTAGACTTAATCCCTTGATGGACCTTCCTGCCTGTGAACTCCACAGGCTTGGAGAGATTGCAGACCTAGTGATGTCTGTTCGCCTCTCACCCACCCGTAAGGAAAAGCTAGCGCTGGCCTTGAAGAATGAAGACTATATTCCAAAGCTGCTACAGCTTTTCCAGGTCTGTGAGAGTGCAAAGAACACCAAAGGCTTGCATCTTCTGTTTGACATTGTGAGAGGAATTTTGTACCTGGACAAAGCCATTCTGTTTGAGGTGATGTTTTCTGATGAGTGTATTCTGAATGTCATCGGATGCCTTGAGTATGATCCTTGTTTGGCTCAGCCAGGATGGCACAGGGAATTCTTGACCAAAATAGCAAAGTTTCAGGAGATTATTCCTATCAGAGACCCTGAACTCAGGAAAAAAATCCACCAGATGTCCAGGGCACAGTGCATTCAGGCCATCATCATGCCTAATCCATCAGATTTTGAAGAGGGCTTTCTTTCTACCCTCAATTCCTTCATCAGCTCCAGAAGAGAGGAGATTCTACATGGGTTGAAGGTAAGTGGTTTTTAATGTGGCTTAGATGGGACCTGTAGAGATCCCTCAGGCTGTGGTTTGGAAATGGTTTGTAGCTGGTGAACACTGTATAAATTAATTGCAGGCACTTTCATCTGCACAATATTCTGAATGCTTTCCCTTCTTTCTGATCCCTTGGATATTTTCTTTTCAAAATGATAAATTTCAGGTGAATATCTTAATGCTTTTTATGGGCTGTAACAAGATAAAGTCCTTCTCTTTGATTGCCAAGCAAATCTTTGGAGCTGGTTTTGTATAAGTATTTAAGGAACACCCAACAAAGCTGGACTTTGTGCAGTGTGGGATCCTTTTCACTATGTAACTTGTGTTCTTTTTCTGTGCTCCACAGAAAGATGAGGAATTTTTGCCTAAAGTTTTTGCGCAATTAACAAATGAAGCTACACCTGGTGAGCAACGATGTGAGTTGGTAAGTCGGGAATCTTGGTGGCTCCTCAAAGGCTTTAAATGAGAGGGATGAAGTAGAAAATGAAACTGTTCTGAGAGTTCTGCAGTCTCAGAAGTACTACTGGAGAATCAGCCAGTACACCCCCCAGTTCAAATTGTAACTGCTTCCTCCTTTCAGAGAGTTTTCTGACACAAATACACAAAACTTCTTTTTTTTTTTTTTTCCCTGTGCAACAGATGAAGTTTCTCAAGGAGTTCTGTGCCTTTTCTTTCACATTACCTGAGAAAAAAGAATTTCTTCAAACTTTGGCAAAGTTGGGATTTCTTCCAACTCTCAAAGTGCTAATGGTAAGTGAAAACTTAGAACTGGTTTTAATAAAACTAGAAAAGCCCACAACCATATATTTTTGTTTGTTTTGGTTTGTTTTTTTTTAATCTGCTGAGCACCTTTTTGTAAGTCTGATTGGAGAGCTTTGCTCTGCTAAGAGTGGAGGTTTCTGGTAATGTCCAGAATCCAGAAGCTACCCACAGTTCTGCTCTAGAGTAGCCTGGTTTGACTGCTCTTACTATTTTCACTTTTCATGATGGAGAAGTCTGAGGGCAGTGAAGTCCTTGTGACAAGGTCGTCAATAGATGAAAGAGACTTTTTCATGTGCAAGCTTGATTATTGGCTTTTTATCAGAGAAAATCTCATCCCTTTAGGAATAGTCTGAATTCTTGTTGCATGTAAATGGGCAGAGAAACTGTTGTACACCTTGGTTTGTACAGTTGGTCCTTTAGTACAAAATGAATTAATTGTGGATAGCAGGTATAGAATACAATGAAGTCTTAGATATTCAAGCAAGTAGGATGTTGTGAATGTTTCCAGCCTAAGTTAGGGCTCTCAAATTCACAGACAACCTCGTGTCCTTTCTAAAAGAGGAAAATATTGGGGAAAGGATTTGCCTGGTTCCTTGTTGCTTTTCTATAACCATATTATCATGTTTCTCATGAAAACTTTTGTAATGAAATTTTTTAAGTTTTAATTTAAGTTTTTAAACCGCCTCTTTGCAGCTTCACATGATAATAAATACTCTAGAGTTGATTTACTCTAACAAATGAATCTCTTTTTTTATTATTTATTTTTATTTTATTATTTACTCTAACAAATTAATCTCTTTTTTTATTTGTTAGGGAATGGATGATCCTCAGGTTAGATCTGCTGCTGTAGATATATTGTCTTATCTAGTAGAATTTAGTCCAGCCATGGTCCGAGAATTTGTAATGCAAGAGGCCCGGCAGAGTGAGAATGTAAGTAAAAGTGGTTTGGAGTTTGTTGAATTTAGCAGTTTAGGGCAAACAGGAAAATAACCAGCAAATTAACATCTAAATTTCTGTGTTTTGTTTAAATTTTTATTTTAAAAAAATTTCAATAAGCGGGGAACTCATTCAATTCTTGTGAGTAATTATTTTATAATTCAAATCTTTGTGTTTTCTGTCTTGCAGGATACCCATCTCATCACTGAGGTCATTGAGCAGATAATTTGTAGTCCTGACACTGAATTTGGAGGAGATAATCAGTCAATAGAGATTTTGTGTGCTCTGATTGACCCAAAGAAAATGCTGGCCACAGCTAGTGTAAGAGAACATGAATGGCAAAAGACATGACACTGTTATGGCAGATTTAAAAGCCTGATATTCCCTGTTGCTGTTAATGCGGGCAGAGGATAAAAAACTATAGGGTTTTTTTTACTGAGTGGAGTGTGGTCTGATGGTGACTTTAAATAAGCAAAAGATAAACTAATTTAACTAATGAAAGGTATATCTGGGGCATCATGCCAGTGTTAAACCACACAGCCCCATGTGTCGGTGCCACAGCACTGCCTGACCATAGCTCTCTCCATCTGGATGATAAATCCTGAAAGATTTTAATACATTGTAATGTACCAGAATACCTGTAAAAGGGTTTACAGGGTGTTCTGGGCAAAACTACCTGCATTTCAGAATGGTTTAAGGACACTTTGTCAAGCACTTTTAGTCACTTATGTTTTTTCCAGTTTATATTTGCAACCATGTTGGGGATTCTTTTAATGATAGCTAGATTGGTTGGATGTCTCACAAGTTTGTCCCCAAAAAAAGAAATTGATCTTGTATGAAGAAAGTGCTGCAGAGCCAAAGAACTCAGCTGAGTTCTTTGTAGGCTGTTTCTTCTGTTATTACTCTTTTTTGTTTAAAAGGTTGTATGTGAATGCCAGTGTTTAATGAAGTTGTTGTTGTTTTAGCGTTTAGAGATAATTGAATTCCTCAATATCTTCTACAACCGTTACATTCGTGTTCTTACTGCACCGCTTCTGGCTGATACATCAGAAGAATGGTATGAAATAGGTAATGACAATTTAAATTTTTTACCCTTTGAAAGGCCTTACAGTCCTGGTAAGAGCAATAGACCTGTGATGCCTGCTGGGAATATGCTTGCTGCAAGCTGCTGTTCCTCCAGGGACACGAATTCTGCAGGCAGGAGTTTTCATAGCCCCTTCCTGAAGTTGGGAATGCTGACATAGCTTGATGGTGTACTTTGTAAAGAAACACTTCCTTCATGTATTTTGAGAATAATGTCATAGTTTTGCTAGTCTAATTTTAAATAATATTTACTGCAAAAGCAAAAAAAGCCACAGTTGTGTTTGCTGTTTTGTTCTGACCCAATGTCCTGCTTCCCAAAACAATCCAGTAAAACAGAAATCCACTAAAAATATGGCAGGAACTGCAATAATAACTGAGCTCAGTGTACCTTGACAGTACATTATTTGTTTTTTTGTACAACTTAAGGCATTATTTTTTCTTCTAGATAATTATCAAACAGCAGAAAAACTTGCCTCAGTTTTGCAGCTGCTGTCTTTTTGTGTGGAACGGCACAAGCATCACATGAAGATTTACATTATCAAGAAAAATCTGCTAAGGAGAGCACTGGTCTTGCTGAAATCCAAACACAAATTTCTGGCCTTGTGTAAGTATGGAGGTGTTGTGATTTCCTTCTTCAAGGCTTTGTGTGTCCTGTGTGGAAGGTGTACCAGTACCAATGTACACTTGAACTCAGAATTCCTGTTCATTTGCTGTGTTTTACTGGCTACAATTAAGTCATTTAGAAAAGAAATAGGTAGCAGCTGTCTGTAAGCACAGATTTATTTGTAATGCAGTTTCTGTTGGGAGGAGGATTGTTGTCTCCTTTGAAGTCTACAGGGATCCTTTCAAATCTTCATGACAGGATCCTTTGTAAACAGATTGCTTGCCTCATTTCAGTGGAAATTGTGTCTTTTCATAATAATGTTCTAAATCTGGTTCTCCTTGTGGAGAGTGAATTAAATGTTGTGAGCTAGGACCTTTAAAGACTCAGGGCTGGTTCAGGGAGGGGAACAAGGAAAAAAGCACAGGAGGGAGTTAATAGTTTAACTTCATGCATGCTGGAATGCATTACTGCTGGACCTGAGAAAGAAATCCATGGTTCCTGATGACCTTCAAATAGCCAGGGAAGTCCAAGAAGGAAAGAAAGGTGACCTGCCAGCAAATGCTGGTTCTGCACTTTGGGGGTGCATCTTCCTCTCAGGGTAACACCAGGTTTTTCAATTCTTCCCCAAGAAGGTGAGAGCCCTGGCACGTGGTTGTTGAATGCTCGAATGTCTTTCTTCACACAGCTGCTCTTCGCTTTATGAGGAAGATAATTGGCCTGAAAGATGACCTTTACAACCGCTACATCACCAAAAGGAACCTGTTTGAACCAGTTGTGAATGCTGTGCTGGACAACAGGAGCAGGTGCAACCTGCTCCAGTCTGCCTTGGTGGAGCTGTTTGAATTCATCCGAATGGTAAGTTCAGCAGCAGCCTCAGCACTGGCACCTCCATGGCCTGGCAGGGCAAGGGACAAAAGGCAGATTTCCAAGACAGCAAACATGCTGTTTTAATGGGTCACAAATGGAACTGGGGTGCTGCTGAGTCTATTGTCCATTTCTAAGGGAAGTTTAATAATTCTTTCTAGATCTCAGCTCTTTTCCTAAGAGTAAATCTAATTTATTCCCCTTTGTTCTTGACAAGAATATTTTGGTTCTGGACAAGGAATCAGTTACTTTCCAAAATAAAGTTAAAAGCTTTCTGACTTTCTGCCTGTGAACATTTGAGACTGAAACCCTGTTTTGTCCTTATTCAGCAGGATATTCAGCTCCTTATTGCACATATAGTTAAGAACTTCTCTGATGCCCTGGAATCTGTCAAATACATTCCCACATTCCAGGGACTGAAGACAAAATATGAGCAAGAAAAAGACCGGAAAAATGAGAAACTGAACAGGTATGGCCCAGTTTCTGTCTTATGAGGCTGCCAGTGACTGCCATTCTGCAGGCCTGCTGGTTGGTCTTGAATTTCCCAGAGAGCAGCAGAAGCAGGTGGCTGGGGTTGGGATTGGGTTTCATTCTTGCTGAGAATGTCTTGGGTTAATTAGAGTAAACCCCCACCTACCTTTCTTTGAGTAGAGCTGACGTGGTCAGTAGCTTAGAAGTTCTGTTCAGAGAACTCTCAGCTTATGAAGAACAGAATCTTCCTCTGTTCTTCTGAGTTAGGATTCAGTCTGACTCATTTTCACCTGGGTATTTGTGAAGCTTACGGTGAGGGTGGAAGCAGGGATGGAGCTGGATTACCTTCTCCAAGTCACCTAATTCATTCTAAAGCTTTGGAAGGCATTTGTGACCTGGCTGAGTCTGAAACATCAGGCAAAGCTTCAATCACTTGTGCTATGTCTCTTGCAGTGTCCCTTCCAAATTGCCTGATAACACGGTCAAAGAAACCGTAGTCTTACCAGTGAATGAAGATCTGCAGGTCAGTGAAGGTGAAGAGAAGGCAGCTCCAATGTCACCACCAAGCTCCAATGGCTCCTGTCCAACCTACACAACCCTGACCACAGCGGTGACATCCCCCAAGGTGGGTGAGAACTTTTATGGAAGCTCCTGTCCCTCCTGTCCTCGCCAGGACAGCAGAGCAGCCTCGTGGGGCTTTAGCGGGTGTAATGCGACACAGTCAGCAGTAGCCTTGTACAGGGAATCTTTGTTAGGGACAAATTCACCCAGATCCATGACTAGTTTCACCAAGAGTGAAACCCTGACTAATTTGGGGTAAGGTTTAAAGAGGACAAGGTGGGACTGGAGTCTGTTGTTAACCTGGTGGGCACAGGTTAAATTTACCCCTTCTGCATGAGGGAACTGTTGCTGCTCCTTGGCTTCCTTCCCTGCCCAGCTGGTGCCTTGTGTGTGATATACAGATGGGATTGCCTTTTTTGGAATCTATTCCCCATCAGGGAATTAATAAGTGTTTTTAAGCAGACAAAATACAGGAAGTGATACCTCTTTAATGCCTTTTACAGCTGAGCATTATTTGAATCTTTGCTTCCAAGCAGCTACAGAGAACTTTGGGAAGAATTTTATTGCTCACCCCTAAGACTTGGGGGCAAAACAGATGCTCAGTGTGTAATTTTTCAATGTGGAAAATTAATTTTTTACCTTTTTCTAATTGGCAGAGAGGTCTATTTGAAGTATTTGCTCATCCTGATGACGAAGATGGGACTCTGCCAAAGAAAAGAGCTCGTCTGGATTCCTAAGGGAAACTGAATTTTTTTAATAGGAACTTTTATTATGGGTTTTCCAGTGCTGCAACTGTTTAATGTTAAAATACAGAACCAGCAATCCATCTCATAGATCTCTCTTGTAAGATATATCTATATATCTATATAGATATAGATATATAGGTATATAGATAGATATATATAGATAGATAGATATAGATAGATAGATATAGATAGATATATAGATATATAGATATATAGATATATAGATATATAGATATATAATAATAACTTAATGTAGTGGCTATATATATATTTAATATAATAGAATATAATATATAATTTTATATTTTATAAGATTTTATATATATAAACATATATAGTATATAATTATATATAATTTTATAAATAATATAATATAATTTTATATAATATAATACAATGCAATATAATATAATTAAGGTAATTAATATTATGTAATCTAGTAGTAATATATAGTAACAGATGTTAGGTCCATTTCTCTTAGGATACTTTAATGTGAAGCCATTTATATGTTTTGGAGATTTAGTTAGTAGTTAGTTTAGGGTAGTAGCTAGTTTTAATTGTAGCTCTTGTTTGGAAAAATAATTTCTTTCTGTATAGCTTTTTAAGATAGTTTGTTCCAAGTTTATAAACAAGTTTATTTTGTATTAAATATCCTATTGTATTTGTTTTACACCATTTGTAAGTATGTGGTAGTATTAATGCTGAGCTGTAAAATTCAGGAATTTAAATTAGACTCTGTAATTTCATAAGATGTGTTATTTGGAAGTTTTGTTATTTGTTTTAATAAAAAGTTACATGAAACTTTTTTGGGTGGGTTTGCTTCTTTTTCTGTGAGCTACTGTTGCAGTGCAGTCACGCCCTGTGCAAAGGGTAACCCCACTCTTGGCTTCACTTTCAATCTGTCAGGACCAAGCCAGTACAGGGTTTTAAAAGTATTTCTACTCTTTTGAAACAGAATTGCAGGTGACATCTCAAACTTTGCAAGTAAAGTAATTACTTTTGCCTGAAGTTGCTTTATTTTAGCAGATTTCAGTATCTGGTTGTATTCTACAGGCTCTCAAGAGGCTGAGGCCAGTGGTTGAGCAAATCTGCCTGTAGGGATGCTCAGCAGCCCTGCTGCTGAACACATCAGTGACTTTCCAGCATTCTGGAGAGTCAATGTCCATGTAATTTGAAATACTGATATATAAAGTACCAAGATGCTTGTCTTAAAGTTCTGTAAAACTAAGCGTGAAATTAGAAAACAAATCCTTTTGCTTACTGATAATGTAATTTATTCTCAAAATATCCATCTTTTCTTGGGGTCTGTGATGAGCTTCTTAAAACCACTTCTTCCTTCCAGCTTCTTTGCCTTTGAACTGGAGGACACCCTGAATCACAGGGACTGACAGCCAGCTCGAGCTTCTCCAGCAGTGCAGTTTTCCTCTCCTGTGCTTCCAACCCTCCCACTGACTTGGTTTTACCACAGGAGGCAACTTGGCAGCACCCACCCTTCTTGGGTCATCAAGTACCTTGTCCTTCTAAAATGTGTCAGCATCATGGCACTTCTGTTCCCTTGGCTGAGGGATAGAGAGGAAGGCTGTCATCATTTGAAAACTCCCAAAGAGGAGCAAAAGAACAGAGCAAATTTTTTTACCTTTGTAAAATAAGACTTTTCAATAGAAAAATTTGGGTTTTTTTCCCCATTCAGCTGTGGGGGGAAAAAATCCCTGAGACTGATGGGAGCCTAAACAGTAGGTCACAGATTAAAATGCAAAAAAGCATTTTAGCCCTTAATTGTTTAAGTCATGGTTATCACAGATGTAACATTTATTGCCACTAAGCTGTAGCAATCCCCATTAATGTGACACTTCACCTTGCATCAGGAAAATGGGGTTCTCCAAAAACATTCCATGTCTATCTAAACCACATGCTGAGGCCAGGTGCTTGAGACAACTTACTTGAAGGTTTTATACTTTGGTCATCTTGGCTGGGTATGAAATGGGAAAATCAAGCAAGAAGCAATGAGCTGCACTGCCAACCCAAATCACTTCAGCAGAAATTTTTAGTGTATTTGTCAGACCACTTTCTTTAGAAATCTGCAACAGAAACTCAATTTTTATTCAACAGGATAGAAGGAACTTTCAGCTTCCAAACCTTATAGCTCAGGGGGAAATTTAATTAATATTTCTAGAATATTTTGTTATACTATTTATTTAATCACTTATTCTTAAGGTTTCTGTGAAGAGCTGCCCTCTTGACTTCTTAGGGCTGATAATTACTGTATCTGGAGAGAAGGGATAAAGGAATCAGGTAAGATTACCCCTGAAATGAGGTGGAGTGCTGCAGGGCAGGAGTGAAATACAAAATTAGGAAAATTGAAAATGGATAAAATTTAGTTAAGTGGAGACATTTTATGCTGAAAATACATTTATATTAAAAAAAACAAAAAAACAAACAACAAAACCAGACCAAACTAGAATAAATGTAACAACTGTATGATGACTCTTGACCAAGGCTGGCTTTTTATTAGTAGTCTAGACTTTAAAAGATTTTAGTTGTTTATTTTAAATGTGTATGAACAGATATCACCTCCCCTGACATACATACAGGGAAATTTAGACCTCACTTAATAAGAGAGTGCAGGAGCCATGAAATCATGGGTACAAAGTGCTTCTCTGAATTATCTACTGATTTAAGGTTTCTCTCTGCTAGAAAAATCTCTCTGTTACAGAAGTTAAGTAGATCTCTCTGCATGGAAAGTAAACCAGGTTACAAACACTTTTTTTGTGGTTATTTAGATATAGTTCATGTTGGTGACTGTCCTATTCCAAATTAGAGATGCAAAAGGATCAACATTTCTCTAAACAAAATTAATGTGCAAGCCTCACACTGGTTGCATTTCTTGTCTCCAGAAAGCAAAATCTGGGTGGTTTCACCCCTAAAGGTTCTATGAATGAGTGGGCAAGAATGTTTGTGTTTGTGCAAGTGGTGGTTCAAGAGTAGGATAAATACACAGCTCTTCCATATCTTCCAGCTAGATGTGGGATCAGGAGGGCTTGTTTTGGGTGACTCTCATGTATGTGCCAGACACTGCCACAGGAGGTACACACAGCTTGCAGACTGCTCACTACATAAAGCTACTTATTTTCTAGAGCCTTCTCTCTGCTGACAGCTTATATTCAACATTTAGGAGAGACTAAATCATGCAGCTGTATGTACAGAGAAAAAATGTAGTTTCATCCTCTGAAGCTGTTGCATGAGGTAATTCTTTGTTTCAGAGTTTGCTGCAGATTCATTTCTGGTGTTGTGCTTTCACAGCCTGAGTGTTAATACACATCTTAAAGCAGCCCTGGCGTTCTCTCTCTTCCTGTCTGTGTTTCTGGCAGTCACAGGTAACAAAGGAATGGAGTATCATTCTCTGCCATATCATCATGCTTCTATCACTGAGAGCTCTTTTCTGTTTGATTTCTGGTTTCTGTGGTTACCATCTAGTGAAATAAACTATTTCAGCATCAACATGAATGACAGAGAGAGATGTCAGAAAAGCGATTAATAGTGATTATACAATTTATGCTTTTTGTGCCCTGGAAGTATTCAAAGCATTAGTTTCATCAAATGTCCAAGGCAAATTAGGTTTTTTTTTTTTTTTCTTTTGTTTATTTCCTGATTTTCTGTTGTATCTAAATATTTGTTATCCTCCTCCTCCTATAATCTGGAAGAGGCCCACAGCTGCCTATAGCTGTCCTCATCTTCATACCATATTCTGTTGCAGTGTCCCCACCTATACAAGGATGAGAATGATCCCACCACAAGAAGTCACAGGAAAGTCACAGGGAAAAAGCAACATGTGCAAGCTAAGATGATGACGGATGATGCTTAGAAATGGAGATAAAGTAATAGTGAAGGAAGAAAAAGGAAATAACTGTGGGGTGTCTTGCGGCAGGAGGTTTTTCAGAGTGCCAAGAAACGGGTGGTGGATGTCTGTGTGGTTTGCCTTTATTAATCTTACAGGCTGAGCAGTTCTGAGGAAAAGTGATTGCCTGATAGATATTTGCCATGACATCAGCAGAGTAAGGTTAAAAACAATTGAGCTTGTTTAACAAGAGAAATATGAGAAATCAAGAAATAAAAATGACTGGATATTGAGCCCTTTTATTCCAAATAAGGAGGAACTCTACAGTGATTTATCTCTTATCTAAATTGGGAAAAACAAAGAAAGGAAAGTAAATAAGCTTAAGTCACATACATGTTGTTGTTTCACCTAGTAATTTCATTGTGTATAAACTTTTTCATGCCCAGTAGGAATAAAAAAATAAAGCTACATTTAACACCCTTTTAGGTGAACCTGCTGTAATTCACTGACATTTATTCTTCAGTACTCAAATATTCATTTGACATGGAGATCCCTCAGCTCTGTCTGCCTGGTTATTTATCAGATACGTGGAGAAGCATTTTTTTTTTCATAAATGAGTCTTTATTCATTTCCTGTTTGGCTCATTTTTTCTAATAATTTGTTCTAATAAATATTTGGCACTTATGCATAGCAATAGGCAAAGAGTAAAGATCAGATTTTGTAAGTGAAATAGCACAAGAGTGTGGAAATAGTCTGATTCCACACATTTACTTTGTGCATACTCCTTTCTTTCACTCCATTTTCACCACGTGGAGATATGTCTCAACTTTGACCACGCAGAGTCAAATCTGTCTTCATCCAATCTGTCAAATCTCTTCTACAAACACCACAAATACCCAGTTACTTATTAGATATCTACTATATTTGCTGCAATAAGTCCTATTTATCACTGTATTCATGAAGAAGTCCAAGGCAATATCCTAGATCAGTGCAAATTACTTAAAATTTCACAGCTTACCCCCAGAGGTGTTCCAGAATAGAAGTGTGAGGAGCTGAAGAAGTCCAACTGCCTTGAAACATGATTGAAGTTGGAACCTCAAGTGTAGGTTGTAGTAGTTTGGAGTAAATCTCAACTACAGAAGACCATGTCTTGTTG